CTGCCTGTTGAAATTAAAATGATCGAATTCCTAAAAGCTTTTTCTAAATTGATTAAACAGCTTAAGAGAGAGTACATGATGATATTCTGAATGATTTTTTGTTTATTCAAACTTCAATGTATGTTTTGAAATGATTTATTATTTTCAAAATGTAATTTTTTATAGAACTCTGTTGTTATGAAACTGACATGTTTGGGTAAAAGTGGTTGAACCGGTAATAAGAATTCAGATAGGTTGAAGGTTTTTCCTGATGAGCTGTTTCTGCATTATGGATTGTAATGAAAAAGCTGATTATGCATCTATGTTGTTATTTTTACCGAAGTTGCCCTAAAACATCAAATATTATATTATATTCTATAATATATAAATCAATTCTCACATCTTTCTATAAAAACTAATATATAGAAGTAATTTTTAAAATCAAAGGAAATTGATTTTTATTTATCCAAATTGACTTTAAAATAGTTATTATACATTAATATATTATCGAGATATTTTTCATAGCTCACTAAAACATACCCTATTATTTTAAGATTTTGTTGCTTAAATTCAACTTAGATTGTGTGCCTTTTTCATACATTAGTGAGATGTGCTTTAAATTTGTTTCTCTCTTTTTTTCAAATCATAGTAATATTAGCTTTGTTCTTTTTTATAGACCACTTTCTTTTCAGTGAAAGTTACTTCAATTACATATACCCTCTTCTGTTAGTTTCTTAAACTCAATATCTCCCTAATTTTGATTTAATAATGACCATGAGTATTAATGCATGCTCTTTGGTGTATCATTGTTTTATCAGCTTCCATACATTAAGTACATATGAAATTAGGAGTGCGATCGGCATTTGTCTTTGTGGTTCATTTCTGTTGGAAGATTATTGGCATCATCACTCATTTTACTTGTCGGAAAACAGTTTGTTTTGCATAGAATTGTCATAGATCCTTGTTTCATATGCTTAGTTAAGAAACTTTGCCGTGGATACTAATTATTAAGAAATTTGATTATTGGTTGAGCCCATTGATTTAAATTGCGTACCACATCACCTGATGTGGCCGCAATATTGCGGTTGCAGTGACCGCTGCAACCGCATCACACTGCAATTGCGGTGTGACAGTGAGAACTGAAGAGCACATTCTGCATTGCCTTGAAGTCACATGATTGTACCGGTTGTTGGTCTGGTTACCACATCAAACTACGTTTTCCTCAATATATTATTTAATGAGCTAATCTTTCGGCAATATATTATTCATATTTCCCTTTTCTTCACCTTATTGTCTTTATTTCCCTAAATCTGAATGCTCTCAATGTTTTGCTACTTTATTTATACTGTTTCTCTAAGTGGCATCAGAGCCTTATTATGTTTTTTCTGGCTGCAGATCTTCGGTGGTGTCTTTCTCAAAGTTAACAAAGCAACAGTAAATATGCTGCGCAGGGTTGAGCCATACGTTACCTACGGGTATGCAAAATGTTCAGTTAATATTCTGAGTCCAGATTACCTTGGTTCACAACCTGTACTGAAGTTCTTAATATATGCAAATTAACTTTAGGTACCCGAATTTGAAGAGTGTCAGAGAACTAATCTACAAAAGGGGTTATGGAAAAGTTAATAAACAAAGAATTGCTTTGACCGACAACTCTATTATTGAACAGGTATGCCCGGTGTATGTAGTTATTATTAATTATTAACGTTCTTATCGGTTGTTTGTTAATTAACTCTACTTATCGGCTTAACGTAATATTTAAATGCAGACTTTGGGTAAGCATGGTATTATTTGCATCGAGGATCTGATCCATGAAATTTTGAGTGTTGGACCTCACTTCAAGGAGGCCAATAATTTTCTGTGGCCTTTCAACCTCAAAGCTCCATTGGGTGGTTTGAAGAAGAAGAGGAATCATTACGTCGAAGGAGGTGACGCCGGAAACAGGGAAGTTTACATAAATGAGCTTATTAGAAGGATGAATTAGTTTTAGTTTCTCTTGTGTTGCTAGTATAAAATTGTTGAGGCTGAGACATTACTTTTGTTCATTCCAATTTTGTTTGAAAGATTTTGAAGCTTAATCATGATACTATTATAGTACCTTTACTCATTGCTTGTAATGCAATGAAAAGCTCTTCAATTTATGGAGATGTAGTTTTTTATCATAAGTTTTGATGCTTAATTTTTAATCCCTTATTCATTAAAATGTTAGATTTTAATGCATTAGTTTTTTCTTCTTCCTAACTTCCCATTATGATCCCTTACAACAACCCTTTTTTCTTTCATGTTCTTTTGAAATAGTTAAACTTCATCCAATGACATCATTTTGTGCACCATTGATAACATTTTCTGTATCCTCTAAAACGATGTTTTTTTGTGTCATTTTCTTGGTTGTTCTAATGTGAACCTTTGTTGTGTGGTTTTCTTGCTTGCAAGATGAGAGTTTGAGATGGTGAAGGAAATGGAGCTTATAACTACGAGTGAGTGTGATTCGGGTTGGACGGGTTAAAGTTTGTTCTTAACCAGCCTTAGACCCAAAATTAACTTGACCCTAAATATTCTCAGGGTTAGCATTTAAGTCGATCTAGACCCGATTAAATATATTGTATATTCATTTTATATAAAATATTCTAAATATTAGTTTTTTAATGGGGATATATAATTTAATATATAAAGTAATATATGTATATATTATTAAATAAATATATGATGAAAAATTAGAGAATTTATGATACTTTCGACAAAAATGTATTATTACTTATACATATTTCAATAAAGACACATACAAACAGCATGATTGAGTAATCATGAGATTGGTCGAGACTAGTTATGTTTGGTCCATACCCGACCTTAATATTGATTGATTTTAATTTTTGAACCTGAATTCGGCCCTAGACTCGATGAGACCCGACCCTATTCAGGTCCGATTTTGATTGAGTCATACTAGATGAGCGGGTAGGACGGGTATATACACATCCACCACTCTTCAAATATAAAAGTTGTGAGGAGAAATGTGTATCTTTCATGTACCATTTCATTCATATTTGTCCGAAAATATGAAGTTAACATTTAAACTTCTATAAATGTAATATTTTCTTTAGCTTTTCCTTTTATTATCACCTCAACCACTATATTGCTATGTCAAAAATTAAAAAAAATAACATTGTTATAAAACTAATTAGTTGATACATATGACATAAATGTGATGTAACTCTTACGTATACACTTACACTAGTACTGTAAACTTGTTGAAAGGACTAGTGCTATATATAAGTTCAATTTCATGGAAATTTCTGGAATTGACTCCATAGAGTAGTCAACAAGGCAAAGATATATATCATCTTCATGTGCATTCATCATACAAATAATGTTTTTACCAACCAGATCATTCATAAACACCTATAACTTAACTATATTTATAAAAATCAAACTGTGTACCAAGCCAATTGGAAAACTCCATTCAATTAAAAAGAAAAATAACAAAATCAGAAATTAATATTTTAATATTATTTTGTGAAGTTTGATTGGTTAGGGACATGAGGACAGAAAAATTATGGGACAGATGATCCTTATCTCATTCCCTTTGTACAGACCTATACCTGTCCTAATTGGGAACTTGTGTAGTTATTACACATTTCCATACCTTACTTGATTCTATAACACAATGGAAACAACTAAACAAGGAAATTTTAACGTATAAAGAAAGCAAAAGAGCACCGAAGTTTCGAAGAAATTAAAGAAAGTCATGTTAAATAACTAGAGAGATAAAAGATATATTTACTGACAGTATTGTAAGACATTTTTACAGTTATTGCATCATCTACTATCAATTTTTAATCATCATTGACTCTTAAATAAAAGTAATACAAATGAAAGGAGATAATACAATAACTGTGTATAAATATGAATATTACGCTAAAAACTTTATTAGTGCACACATTCATATTCATCAATATGGTACTTTTCCTTATAAATATTGAAACATGAGATATCTTAGTAACCACACAAACTCACATTACTGAACAATGTGTCACGTTTCCGTGTGTAGAAAAGCTAGTAAAATTAACAATTTGCTTTCACCAAAAGCTATTCTATTACTTTCATCAAAAGCTAATTCTATTACTTTGTTCCTTCTACTCTTTGGTATCTATCTCTGGTACCTCATACTTGTTCTCCTTTCTGGTACTTTTCCTTTATAAATAAGCTGAAATTCAATATGCTACTTTTCCTTTCCATGCGTTGAATTTTTAGTGGCCAAAGGAGTATAAACCGTGTTTTAAAGTGTGCCTCTGACGATCCTTAGATTTATGACTTATTTAGTGAAATTGTGGCTAATACAACCTCAATTATGGTCACAATCTTGTTACATAAGATTAGAGAGAGATATGTTGTTGCCCTACCAATGAAAACATTATATGTCAATTAAAAATTTTAAACATTAATTGTTATATTGTTTTTTATTATCATTGGCTGCAATAATTTAAAGTGTTAAGGTTTCATTTCAAAACCAATTGACGATGAGAGAAGTAGTCCAACATATATTTAAACTATTCACGAGACAATAAGGTAGACGATGTGAGACTTACTTCCAAACATGCACCCTCCATATAAGCTTGCCGAACCAGACAAAGGATAACTAAAGAACATTTTTTGACCCATGATAACAGAAAAGAAGTTGGACTATGGCTCTAATACCATGTTAAGGCTCCATTTCAAAACCAATTGTCGATAAAAGAAGTATTCCAACAGATATTTAAACCATTTCTGAGACAATAAGGTAGGCGATGCACCAGATACATAAGTGAAGAAAAAAAATTGTGAAAATTGTCAGAAATGTTGTAAAAACTACCCATAATAGGTTTACATTTGTTTAAAAATATGCTCCTACTTTTTTTTTGCTTGGTTGTTCCCATAGGTCAAAAGACGAAAAGATTCTAACTTTATCATTTGGTTAATCTGTAAGTTAAGAATCTTAAACATATAACTATTAGCCCAAAGCATATTTCTCCTCTATTTCAAACACAAATCTGCACTTACAAGATTTCTATGATGCTTTTTTCCACCATTAGTTGCATTCAGTTAATCTTCATTTGATTATATTTGGATACACCAATTTGTTTGATACTTTGGTATGATACATAGTAAGTGTTACAATATAATTATTTCTTATATATATTTAATAATTAAGTGATGTATGTTTCAATAGAATGAATAATTTCTGATAATATCTCAATATATTCTTTGGTGTTGCAGACGTAGATGATTCTGAGTGGTATTAACATCAAATGTTATAATTATATAGCTTAAGGACAGATTCAGTTGAAGCATCCTTTTGTGAAGGTAATAATTTATTCACCAATATTTAGGGGATGAATAAGAGAACTGATTTTTTTTTATATTTTTTCAGTTAGGGTTGGATACTTGAATTTCATGAGAAATGAGAGTGGAAATTAGTTAGGGTTATTGTGGGTGGAATGTAAGAATAAAAAATTATTTATTATGTTGCGTCAATCAAAATATATCATGTCAATTAAAAAATTTAAATTTTTATTGTTTTTTAGTTCCATTATCATTACTGCGAGATACTGAATGACACAAGATTTTGGATATATATGGGTGGTACTACTTACATAGAATAGATTTGTGGGGAGTGAAAATTTTATATTTTAAAATGTTTATATTAATGATTTTGCTATTATCTTTATTTATGCATGTATACTTTATAACTATTCATCAATATATATATATTTTATTTTCACAGTAAAAATCTTTTAATCTCTAAGGCTACTTGAACTATATGGTCTTTCAAAGGTTTAATTTTAAGATTAAGTTGTCTATGCTACTTTCACTTGTATTGAAATAAACAATGATTAGCGTGAACTTAATTTGTTTTAAAACTCTTTTTATATATAAAAAACTTATATCTCAACCCAAAAAGAATATAGCAAAAGAAAAGATGATGAAAATAATCTCTCCCAATCTTGCTATCTAACATAAATGATGTGGGATATTTCAGTGCTCCACTCATAAAAAAAAGTTATTGTGTGAGTGAGTTGTGAAGAAGGGATTAAACCTAATTATACCGTTTATATTGATATCATAAGAGTTTTTTACATTTTAATATATTATTGATATATAGGTTGAATAATTTTTGTACACTAATCATACATGTATATACTACAAAACAAAAAATATGTTAGGTTATGCAAGTGCACATACCTCTTTTCATTTGTAGTAACCATGAAAGAAAGAGGTTTGAAGTAGATAAGAGAGTAGTGGAGTGGAGATTAAATCTACATTTTTGGAGAAAAATAAAGTGACATGTGGTATTGCCTTTAAATGTTTTTTTTTCTTTCTGGTGACAACATTGTCTTCATTTGATATTGAATGAAATGTAAGTTTTTTATAAATATTTTATAGTATTATTTGTTATCATTTGTTATAATTGGATTAATTCTTATGTGATAATCGGACTCAGACTTTAATCCGGACTTAAAAATGACTCTAGTTTACAGTCTTAATTGAATGAAGAGTTTGGTCGTTTTGAACCAAGGAAATTTTGGTCCGACCACGTTAAACTAGAATAACTTATAAAATTTTAAAAAAAATTAGAACAATATTTTTTTTACTCCGATAAAAAAATATGAAGATATATTACTTCAATATAATTATATATAATTATTAGTTATATAAACTTTATATTTGTATATTATTATATAATTATTAATTATATATAAAATCATTCGTCCGATTAGACAATTTAACCGTTTAAATCGGTTAACTTTAATATAGGACATCTTCCAATTTAATGTCTGACTCGGGTTTCACAAGATTGATTAATTTACAATTTGTTTGATTCTTTTAACTAGATGGTCTTCTTCAAATATGGTCGAATAACCTAAGACACAATTTAACTATGTTTTCTATAATATAAGTTACATCAACTTTCTCCTTAATGCATTCATTCATAGTTATATCTTATCTAATATGCCAATTCATTTAACACAACATTTTTATTATGCTCCAAGTTTATTTTTTATTATTCTAAGTCTTGTAATTGAGCATTAATTTTCTCATAATGACACATTTCAAATAATTACAAAATCACACCGTGTATATGTATAATATTACATTAAAATATATGGTCAATTGGTGCACCAAATAAAAGAAAAAATATATACAATAATTTATATTATTTTTTAAATTTAATTTTACAACAAATATGTTCCACTTGCTGCAAATATTTTCTCAGAAAATAAACATTTGCAGAATAATAATTACTATTTATAATGTTTGAAGCGTGTATCAATAATTAATTTCACGGTGTGCATGCTTTATAAGTGTGATTAAGTTATGGCCATTTTGAATGTTACCCATTACACACGAAAGATGCTGCTATAAATTGTGACACACACCAATTTTACAGGTAGGAACATGCGTGTAAGTGCTGCCATAATGAATATATTTGCATTATTATTACTATTTCTAAAGACTTTGAGCAAAACTTATTTCATATAGATATACAACTATAATATTTATGTATTTGATATACACAATTAATATATTATCTGCATTCATTCACATTACATTTTTTGAGAAGTCGGTAATAGTTAGAAATGAATGGTGGATAATAGATTGATAATGTCTAAAACTTTTAGATTATCTGTACATGATTTTTTTCCTTGTAATTAAGAATAACATTAAATGCCAACCAAAAAAAAGTATAACATTAAATTTATTAGTATAATATCTATGTACTGTTATTGTGAAAATTTATGTAAAATCAATGTATCATCTAACATTTATTTGTATTATTTTTTGAAGAGTTAATGATAATTAAATATAACTAGTGAATGATGCATTAACTATTTTATATTGGGTGTGCATATATTTTTTCCTATAAACTCTGTAAATTTATATGGTGAGATTCACTTTATCATACAATAAATATATCCCTTTAATATGGAATTACATGATATGAAATGTGTTTAATATATATGGACCTAGAAAATGAGTTAATGTTGATTGGTAAGTGATTTTTTTTCCTCACATGATCTATAGTTGATTTATTTGGCAAATAATTCATATTCATACTCCATATAAAGTAGGAAAAACTCACCTTTTTAAGTTGAGTAAGGATCTTCATTAATGGAGAGTCAAATAACACATTTTCTTTATATTTTTAATGGTAAAAATATTATTCTATTACATATAAAATGATAAAAATGTTTTCTCATATTATATTTTTTTGTTTTAAGTTGTGTCTAGAAATAGATGACTACAATTTTCTTCTTTTCATTATTGATCCTCATCACTTCAAGAATTATTTGCCAAAAGACTCAACTTTAGTGTGCTCTCTTCTCATAAGTCATCATTATCAAAATATCATTCACATTCCTCATTGCTGTGTTGGTATGTGTTTTTTTGCTAATAAAATGAATTACTTCCTAAATTATGTAATATTTATACGTTGTCATTATAAAGATTTATACACAGAGAATTCAATAGTTTACATCTACTAACTAATTTAAATCATTAGATTTTCATAGAATTGATAACTAAGATATGAAATATGTTTAAAAAACTTATTCTTAAAGTCAATAAATCTCCGGTAATAAAAAAATAGAGAAAAGAATAGAAGGCCAGCTCAATAAACAAAATGAACCCACGTTGCACCCTTCCAAATTACCGACATAGTCACATAACATATCTCACCAAAATGGGAACCACTAAACACTCCTTTACTTTAATTAATGCTTCTTCCTCTCTTTCATTTCTATATTATTCTAATATTTATTTACCAAATTTATATTTATATTTAAAAATTAATAATGATTAAATATAAAATATAATGTTGTATTAATAATATAATTTTGTATACCATCACAATATACATATTTTCTCGTATTAGAAGGATAATATTTTTAGAGAAAATGTATGCACAACAATGTATAAGTTTATATATTTATCATTTATATTTAATTATAATTAACTATTCAAAAGAAATAATTAATTCAAATTGTACAATAATAGTGTAATAATTGTGGATATCTTTACATTAACAATACATAGAAATTACACTCTAACTAATATTTGTGCAAAAATTCAACTAGTACAGAAATTAGATGTCGATATGTGATAGAACTTAATATCAAAGTATGAGGTATAGTAGATATATAAGAGTTTACGTGTCCGTTTTGCGTTAATGTTAGGTTTTTAATTAATGGATAAATTTGAAAACAAAAAACACATCATCACTACTTATAAACGCGAAGAGCATGTCTCGCCAAAAATATAAAAGGCAAAGAATAATAGTAATACATTGTCGGTGTAAAGATTTATACACAATCAATGCATTGTTTACCGTTTATTTTTTATTATTTTTGATGAGTCAATGATAATTAGATACGAACAATGAATGATATACTAATACTATGTAAAACTTTTACTGTGTATAATTATAGGCATGGAAAGTGGAAAATGAAAGAAGAAGGGAATAAATGTTATACTTTTTGGCATGAGCTTAGTAATGTTTCATAATAAATGGAATTTAAGTGTTGGTGGTTTCTGAAATATTTTTGGAGTTCATTGCTAATTTGCTATGCTTGTGTTTGCTTATTCTAATTCTCGAAGGTTTTTCTTACAGGTTTTAATGTGTTGAAGTGGAACAAAGACCAAGAATAAATCACAAGGTATATGAACCAATTTCATTGTTTCTTAATAATGTGATATCTCAATTATGATATACTTAGGATTTAAATTTAGTAATAAAGTATTTTATTCGGCCAAATTTTTAATTCCTTACTCGTGAAATTTTTAATTTTTAATTCCTTATCGAGGAAAATAAAGGACAAATAATCACAACTTTGTTTATTTTTTGAGTCTCGTTATTTGACTATTAGCTTTTTATACGGAAAATGTTAGGGAATCAAGGAAGAACAAAAAAAAAAAATTGAAAGGATGTATTATATTCTATAATTTGTACTAACACTACATTTATTTAATTGTGTAAATCCTCATTAAATCCCTAAATGATTAGAAGATTAATAGTTTGATTCCTGAGAACACTATTTGTTTGGTAATATAATATTTTATCCAAATGATATTAATACTGAAAGATATTAATACTTAACCAAACGATAATGAAATATTTTTTGTCCTGTAATATACTTTACTATTAGTCGAGTATGTGATCTGAATTAATTAAACTAAATAATAAATCTGTATGAAAATATGATATGTGGTCATGTATTTTATATGGAAAATGTAATATATATATATATATATAATGTTAATATAAAAATTTATACATAGTCAGTACATCATTTATAATATATTTACATAAATTTTGTTGAATAGTTAATAATAATTAAAAATGAATGATAGACTAACAGTGTATAAAGTTTTTACGATCCATGTATTCATTTTTTCTCATTATTTAATGTCTAGAATGTACATATTATGTTATACAATATGGTGTAAAATTTTATACATGGTTAGACCATTATCAATCATTTATTTACATTATATTTTTAAAAATTCAATAATAATAAAAATAAATAATAAATAATAAAATAACAATATATAATTTATATCTATCTATCTTACTATATAAAGGCAAAACATAGTTTAACTTACCCATGATGTAATTTCACTTTCCTGTTTTGTCTTTGATATTTTTTAATTTCTACAAAAACCATATAATTATATGTAATCTCCAATCTATTAAGCATCTGTCATCTTAAATTTAACCTCTATTTATATATATATCTATACTAATATATAAAGGGAAACACAAAATAACCACACATGATAGTGTAATTTGTGTTTTCCTATTTTGCCATTACTAATCTATATTTTCTACCAAAAAAATCATATAAAATATTTTCTCATTTTATGTTTCATGTTTGTTTATGTATCTTTTATAGTTTTTCCATTTGAACACGACATTTTTTTCACATAGAACAATGCAATATTTGAACATGACAGTTTATCCTTTTCATTTTTTAACATGTAAAGTTGCAAATAATGTTTTATTGATTTTGTTAGTTATAAAAAATATAATAAAAATATACAAATCAATTACAATTCACTCAATAGAAAAACGGGTTGACAAACATGTGAGTGTCTGTCAACACACTAGTATATATAAAGACAAAACATGATGTAACTGCCACCATAGACTAATTTCCAATTCTCTATTTTGCCCTTAATATTTTTTAATTTTTATTATATTTTATACACTCATTAAAAACAGGATCACATTAATATCATTTAAAAATTTACAGCATGTAAAATACACATTACAAAGAATAAAAAAACTGATTAACTACCTATTAACGCTAGTATACTATATAAGTCTCTAACATAAATTTTTTCCTCATATATAGTAACAGTTCCTCTCTTTATGTATATATATACATACATTAAATGTACCTTGCAATTTCCTTTTACTTGGATAATAATCTGTTAAAGTTGCGTGCGTGAATCAACAAATTTCTCGGAACTTTCCTCCTTTTCTATTTTTAGATATTTTTTCGATAAATTATGAAATTTAAAAAAAAAATTGAAAACGAAATGTTTGAGAAATTTCCTAGACATTGCAAGTAATTGAAAAATAGAAGACTAGCGAACTAAAAAAGCTAAAAGCTAAAAGCAAAATCTCGATTCTGATTTAACCTTCAAAATCTGATTCTGATTCTGAAAAACACTCTATTAAATCTTCTTGATCTGTTTGTTGTGAAGAAGAAGAAGAAGAATTATTGGTTCAGTTACTAATAAGAACCGTTGAAAGAAACTGATTTTTTCTTCTTATTATTATGCATTGATTTAAGCTATAATAGTAATCTAACTTTTACGGTGCCATCTCTCCTGCGACAGTTTTCGGAAAAAAAATGAGTAACGGTTTCGCGAATGGTTCTTCGCCTCGCCGCCGGCGACCGGAAAATGATATAGAAGCTGGTATTGCGAGTAACCGCTCCGGCGACTTTTCCGACTCCGATTTGGCTGATCCATTTGATATTACCAGCACTAAGAACGCTTCCTTTGAACGACTCAAGCGTTGGAGAGTATGTTTTCTCTTTTTTTTATTTATATTTTTCGTTTCTTCATCTATTTCGAGTATTTTTGTTTGTCGTAATTGTTCTATTTTAGTTGAATTTTGAATATGTATAGATATGTCTGTAGAATAAAGCAAATTTTGAATATGTATAGATGTGTCTGTAGAGTAAAGCTTGCTATGATGTTAGTGTAGCCGTGTAGGTAGAGTTTGGTGGAAAATTGTTTGGATAAGGTTTTTGTGTGGCGGTGATACGGATAGGCCAGTGCATGAGGCTCCAATCTAGTGGAGTGTGAGCAGAGTAGATATACGCAGCCTTATCCTCACAAACAAATAGGTTGTTTTCAGGATTTGAATCCATGACCATTGTGTGGTGGGGAAATATTTGGATTTTGTTGTTGTTGTTGTGGATTAAGATTTTCAAGGGAATGACACAACCATAGAGTAGTGTAGTTTTGTTTGAATAACGACGTCTCATAGTTATTGTAGTTGTTGTGATTCTTCGTTGGCTCTAGAACATGTATATCTTGTATCAAACTACATGAGAGAGGAAAAAGAGACACAAAAATGACTAAAAAAGAAACATGTACAACGTTTCTGTAGTTATCTCATATAAGAATATCAACGGAAATTGGCAGTTTATATTTCATCGTTTGAATTATATGAAAGGAACATTGTAGAGGTCCATATTGAACACACATGAAAGTTTCATTCGTAAGTACAAAGACCAGAAGCTTTAGCATTCATGCAGCTATAACACATATGATATTGCATTAGTTAAATGTTAGTACTCAGTTGCATTCATCCATGTCTAGGGGTCAGAGGTAAAACCTTTTGTCTATTACTATTTTCTAATTCACTTTTAATCTGAAGTCTACCCCGTAAATGTCATCCCAAAACTTTTGCATTTCAAAAAGATCCGTTTTTGTTTCTTGACTGGACCATGAAGGATTTAAGAAGACCTAGGTTCAAGGATTAGGGATTAGTCTAATAAATCTGGTTATAAAAAAACATTGAGGTTTGAGCTTTTGTATATGCTCTTCCTGCAAAGCATCGATAGAGTTAGCTTTTAATGGGAGCTAAGTAAGGCAAGGGTTGCAAAAAATCAAGAAAATTTCAGACTAAAAGGTTATTGCTCTGAACAGTAGTGTGTACATGAGCAGAGAAGAACAAAGACATTCTCCTTTTAACTTGTTATACCAAGCCAACAAGAGTAGGCAACCTATATGTAACTGAACAACCTCTGCAAGTTAAGAGCAAAGGAAAAAGGCAATGAGTATGTCTGGAAACTAAATGTTGACCAAGGCGATATTTGCCAACAGAATGACATAGAAAGCTTAAGACTGCAAGGACAATTAGATGAGTTTTTCGGCAATGAGATTTGTTTAGATTCTTGCAAGAAAAAGGGCCCAAAGTGTTATGGGCTTATGAAGAATGAGTGAGCTGGCCTGTTCTAAACAAAATTTATGGAGGAAGTCTCTTGATGGTTTTTTAGTGGTTTCCTGAAAATTAGCTAGAAAAATACAGAATTGCGGCTATATATGTATTTTTATTTTTGTTACTTGGAAGTTAATGTTTTTTCAATGACTGGTGACTCTCATTTAATTTCTTTTAGCAAGCGGCTCTTGTGCTTAATGCTTCTCGTCGATTTCGTTACACTCTGGACTTGAAAAAAGAAGAGGAGAAGAAGCAAGTATTGAGAAAGATAAGAGCACATGCACAAGCCATTAGGGTATGGTTCCTTAAATTGTACTTTTTTATGCTCATGTTACACATGTTAAGTGTTCTAATTATTGATTTTCCTACATTAGGCAGCACATCTGTTCAAAGCAGCAGCAGTGCCCATGGGGCAAGCGAATGGTGAGTTATTCGGTTGTGCTTGTTATTTTTTGTGGACACTGAATTATACTCCTATTTCCTGACTTGTAAGAAGTACCTTTGAGGTAACTAGATTCTTAGTACTCTGATTCTTTAAGAATTTACCCTGGCGGGAAATCCTTTTTGATTTTAGTCATTAATTGACCCATGAGATATTTGATCAGTTTGACTAGTCATGTTGCCAGTTCCAGTAGTTAGGAGCAAAAGCAATTGATGTTTGCTGTTATTCTTGAGTAATGGGACATGTTTGCTTTCCGTTCATAAAAAGTAATAGATCAATGACGTTGCTGCCCATGTATTCATCTGATGAACTGAATAGTCTGGAAAACCTTCTAGGGTCAAGATCTGATTTGATATTTGCTTTAACATTTTGATTTTTGTTAGAGAAACCACATCAGTAACTTAATAGTAATCTCATAGCTGCATATTGGTCTTGGAAGCCTACATCTTAGAAGTGGGGTATTATAAATTTTTTGACATTGCCAATTTCACTTTAAATTTGTACATTATTTCAGAGGTAGGTGCTTGATCTGTTTGTGTTGTATCACGTTTTTCATGGACCAATTATCCCTTTACCGCTTCAAATTGATGATTTGCTATTAAGAGTTCCTCTATACTTTTATCACAAGTTCATTCTCACTGACTGAGTCTGTTGAGTGTCGACTGTTCTATATATTTACATATAAACTGTTCAACATAGCATCATTTAAGTTCTATAGCCTATCAGTCTCCACTAAATTTTA